ATATAGGAAAGCTGTGTTCCACTGTAGTTAGGTCCGCTCCAGGAGCTCAGATTTTTGACTGTCTCTCAGCCCTGCAAGGTGTCTGAGAATTGCTTTGAGGACAACACCCTGTTAGTTCTTTCTCTTGTAATTTTGCTTTGACTGGCCTTGTGGAGTGGCACTCTATTCACTTTCTGTTTAGTATTCAGCCTAATACTTAAGGTCTCTTCTACACAGATGTCTACATCTTTGGCTCTGAGCGCCCTCCTCATCTCTGAAAGGCTGCCCTGCAACTTGGAGCTGCCCCAATCTCCCTGAACCCCAACCACTATATTCTCAGTTCATTAAGACTGTGATCTTCCTAAGCCATACAATGAGATGACATGTGATTCTAGGCAGAAAGCTGTAGCAACCTTGTTTGTTTCTTTCTTTTCTGAGGTCACAGTCTTGACCTGTCTGTCATTCAATGTGCAAAAACATTTGCCAAATGATTTGTACAGTTTTCTCTTTGCTTATCCCAAGATGGCAAATTGGGAAAGTTATCCTATCATAGCAGGAAGAAGAAGTTCAGTTCACTTGCATCTAATATAATTAATGATAGAGTTGAATATAAGTCGACCTCCTTTCCGATTCTCTATTTGTCCTATTTAATACTCCTTTCTGGCCTTCTTTCCATTTATTCAAGTCATTTTTATTATTCTGCTTCCTTAGTGGACTGTCAATCTGTTTCATATATTTTAATGGTTGCTCTACAGATTACACTATCTACTCTCAAATTAATATTAAATTGATATTATGCCACTTCATGGACAAGAACCTAATAACATCATAATTTCATTTACCACCCCAGACCTTTGTGCTCTACTTGTCATATATTCTAACTTCTACATATAAACCCATGCAATAAATAAATACACTTTTATTATGTTTGTACTTTAAAGATGATAGTCTCTTAATGAACGTTAGAAAAACAACCTTTTTTATGTACTCATAGACTTACCATTTGTAGTGATTTTCAGTCTTTCTTGTGTAGACTCAGACTTATATCTGGAATAACTTCCCTTTGGCCCAAAGCATTGTATGCCGTTAGGATTTACTAGTAATGCATTCTCTCAGTTTTTGTTTATCTGAATATGTCTTTATTTTACCTGCATTTTAAAGGACAGAGAATTCTAGATTGGTATTGTGTTCCCCACCCCCAGTACTTTAAAGAGGTGTTTCAAACACTTTGTACTTTCTGTTCCTTTGGTGGGGATGCTAGCTATCATTATTTTGCATTATTTTGTCATTTTCCTGAATATAATGTGGCTTTTTTCCTGGCTAGTTTTGTTTTCAATTTTCTTTCTTTTCATTTTCCATAAGTTTGACAATAGGATATATCCTATTGTGTTTATCATGCTTGGGGGTTGCTGAGCTTCTTGGATTTGTGAGTTGTCTCCTCTCAGTTTTGGGGGAAAATGACAATTATCTCATTAGGTATTTCTTCTATGCCATTTTCTGCCCTCTCCTCTGGGCCTCCAGTTGAGTATATGTTAGACCAATTCTATGTTATTGTTCCACAGGACTCAGATGTTCTTTTCAGTTCTTTGTGCTTTGCAAAGTGGATGACGTCTATTGACATTTGTGAACCTTGTGTCTGCTGCGTGGAGTCTTCGGTGAAGTTTAGCCAATTAACTTTTCCATCTACCACTGTATTTTTCTAGTTTAGAATTTACATTTGTTTCCTTTTTTTAGCATTTCTGTTTCTCTATTGTGATGATCTTTTTGCCCCTTCTTCCCATCCCTTCTTGTAAACTCCCAATGTATCTTTAATAGCTGATTTAAATTGCTTGTCTAGTAAATTCAGGTTATCTATACATCTGTTGCTATTATCTTGATTATGGGTCTCATTTCCTGTCTTTGTTTTTTGCCTGTCTACTGTCTTTTTTTTTTTAAGTTATTATGGCTTGGGGAGTTGTAGATACATTGTAGAGATCTCAAATTATATTATTTTCCTCTAAAAGGTGCTAGAAAGCACTTAAATTGCTTGTGGATCCTGTCATCTTGTGAAAGCTCAGTTTTAGTCTTTGCTATTTTTGTTCTGTCATTATCCTAGGTCATAACCTTTAGTCTTGGGATGTGGTTCTTACTCCTAAGATGTGGTTTTTCAGGAAGAGCCTGTAGTGTTTGCCAGATCTAAGTAGAATTTGAACTTGGAATCATGTACTCAGTACCTGCTCCCAAGTTGCTGTTTTCTGCTGGGCTCCTAGGCATCTCTTCATGCACATGCACTATTCATAAATTAGCCAAGAATTAAAGGGGAGTTTTACATTGATTTTGTGATTTCCACCTCTATTCATTCTGCTTTCTGAAATGTTTTTTCTTCTATTTTCTACTGAATTGGCAGCTCTGAGCTCTACCTCTGTCTCTTTAGCACAATATATGGATGCTCTCTGCTGCAGCTGGATAGTGTTGTTGAGGCAAAGCTGGTTAAATGTGGAACTCATGAGCATGATTCTCTTTTCTCAAGGAAGAAGGCTCTGCCTGTTTTGGGTGGATCTTCTATAATGTCAAACTTGGATTTATATTCTGACCACAGTTTGAAATTGTTATTAGCAGCACACTTAGTCCAAGACAAGCTATTCTTTCATGACTGAAATCAATCTATATAAGGAGCTTGAAAAATTCTAGAAGTTGAGTTCCACCACAGACCAAGCATATTCCTGGGTATGGAAACCAAGCAGCAGAATTTCTTAAAAACAAAAACAAAACTCTAGGTAGTTTCTGTGAGGATCCAAAGTAGTAACTAGCAGTGTTTGCCAAGTCCTTATTATATCAGCACTTTTTATTAATTATTTTATTAATTCTATGGTAGCCTTATTATTTACATCCAAGAAAACTAAAACCTTAAGTATATGTTGAGTCCATAATTCAATGTTACACAATCTGTTTTAAAGTTAAGATTTGAATGCAGCCAGTCTGACTTCAGACTTCAACTTAAATGTTATGCTTTATTGAAAGGTTTTGGGGAAAATAGGTTCACAAAGAAGACCATAAATTTGGTTTTGTATGAATAATATTCCATCATATTGCCATAAAAATTCCCTGTACTGTTGGATAGTTAGATGTTGTCTATAGTCTTACTATTATAAACTCCTTTGCAAGGACTACAAAGGTAGGTAAATCTCTAATTGTTGATTTAGGGTAGGTTATTTAGAAGAGGAAGTTTTGATCTGTAGATAGGAACTTTAAAAATTCTTGGCTCAGATTGGCTCACTGGGTAATAAAACAATGGGATTGTTTTTATTGAACTCTCCTATCTGGACTTGAATATTTGATTTTTATTGTATCTTTCTAGTGATTATCATTTATTGAGCCTTCTATCTGTCCTTGGAATGTGCTTGGTCCATTTGTCGGTTGGGTTCCTGTTTAGGGACAGTGACTACTAGAGAAGGAGAGGGGATGTCACTGTCCACGTTGCACAGACATGCCTGTCGTGGAGTGAAACAGCTATGTCTACAGTGGAAGCTGAGTCACAGCCACTGCCCGGCTGTCTCTTATACCACCTAAGAGTTTCCTTGCTGTGTTTACCGTTTCAAAATTACCTTTCCCTGATCCCTTGCCATGTTTACCTTTGAAGTGATTTGTAAAGGTTGATGGAGAAATAAAATGAGTTTGTTTTTAAAAAAAAAACCAAACATGTGACACCCTTTCTGGATGGACTGCCTTTTTGTTTAATGGTGAAAGGGCAGGGACAGAGAGGTGAACACATGGAAGGAGATGCTAGAGTCTGATTTGGCTGGAGCAGGATCCAGAGAAGTCAATTGATGTTCTTAACTTTTTCTTTTTCAAAAAATAAAAGACATTTTAAATGGCTGATATCTTGGTATTTGCAAATATTTTCAAAGCATTGTTGCAAATAGAAAATACAGTATATATTGAGGCAAAACACACACAACACTACAATGCAATATCCTGGATTTTTCTTTTTGTAGAATACCCTTTTCTGAAGAATTATAATAGTGAATCAGCAGTTCCTCTAAGGCATAGCAGTGTTGCATGGAAAATTTAAAGTCATGCTTAAAGTTAGTACTTTTGAAGTTAAATCCAGAAACTATTGAACAATCAAAGTAACTTTCTGACTTCCAAGATGAGTATGCTAAAACCAAATAAAAATGAATCTTGTTTAATATTATTATGATATATGCTAAATCTCAAAACCAATTTCTGTCTAGTCCACATGAAAACCTGCCACTTGAGGAGAGAGCATCCTGCATGGGATTGATTCTGAAAACTTTGTTTTGTGTTAACCAATTAATTGGCATTCAATGAAATGCACACATTTTAAGAACATGCTTCAGTGATTTTTTTTAATGTGTTCACCCTTATTACCCCCTTTCCTTTCCAGATACATATCATTTCCTTCACAATGGGAGGTTCACTTGAGCTGTCTGCACAGAATTCCTCCTCCCCCCAGCCCCAGGGGAACTACTTACCTGATTTCCACCAGGAGAGGTGAGGTCTGCCAATTCTAGAACTTCATGCAAATGGAGTCATATGGTATGAACTCTTTTGTGTCTGGCTTCTTTTGCTTTCCTCATAATGTTTTTGAAAAGGTGTCAGGAGGGTTTGTTTTGTTTTGTTTTAATTGCTGAGCAATTAAAATAAATAAATAGTTTCCATTGTGTGAATGTTCCAGTTTCTTCATTTGCCTGTTGATGTACACTTGGATTGTTCTATTCCTCCCTGCCAAAGTGGTGGCTTTTTAAAATAAAGCTTCTGTGAACATTTACATACATATTTTTTGTGAAAATATGTTTTTATTTCCATGTCTAGAAATGGAATTAATGAGTCGTAATTGTACTAGTCAGTTTTTTGTCACGTGACAAAATACTTGAGATAAACAACTTATAAAGGGGGAAGGTTTACAGTTTCAGAGGTTTCAGTCTATGTTTGGGCCTGTGATAAAGTAGTACATCACAGTTTAGAATGTATGGTAGAGGAAACTGCTTACCTCATTGCTGGGAAACAAAGAGACAAAGAGGGGTTGGGCCCCAATCTCTCCTTCAAGGGCCTACCCCTATTAACCTAACTTCCTTTCACTAGGCCCACCTGCCAATAGCATCACAAGCTGGGGACCAAGCCTTCAACAAGTGGGCAACACCATAGTAATATTGTAAGTCTATGTCTAACTTTATGAGAGAAGACCAGTCTAATTTTTCAATGTTGTTATGCCTTTTTTTATTCTATCAGCAATGTATGAGAGTTTTAGCTGCTCAGCATCTTTGTCAGAATTCAATATAGTTGATCTTTTCACTTTTAGCCATCCCACTGAATATGAAGATAGCTTAATGTGTAACTTAAACTTCTGGGATAATGTTGAATATTTTTCCTGTGCTTTTGGCCATACATGAAATTCTGATTTTGGAGTTCCAATTTTTAACAGATTGCTTATTATTACAGATTTGTAGGAGTTTGCATTTTGCATAGTATTCCTTTGGAAGATAATGTGTAACTACAAATATTTTCTTTCAGTCTTTGGCTTATCTCATTTTCTTAATAGCTTCTGGAAGAGCCTTTCTTTATTTATTATCTGGATTTAACTTTTCTATGTTTGTAGTTGACCAATTTATCTGGATTTAACTTTTCTACGTTTGTCAACTACGACAACTCTAGGACTTTTAGGAAGTATACAAAAGCCATGACGGTCAGGAAATCTTGGTCTTTCCTCTACCCCATGACATCTTGTCATTTTAATTAAGTCAGGATCTGGGATTGCATACCTGTAATTCCAGCAACTTGGGAGACTGAGGCAGGAGGATCTCAAGTTCAAGGGCAACATCAGCAATTTAGCGAGGCCCTAAATTTGAGACCTTGTCTCAAAATTTAAAAACAAATAAAAAAGAGTTGGGGATGTGGCTCAGTGGTAAAGTGTCCCTGGGCTCAATCCCCAGTACAAAAGTTTCAAAATAAATAAATTAATTAAGCCAGGAGGGCTTCGTTATTCTATGCAGAGCTGTGGATTATCTAGTTTACTGCTTTTTTGGAGGGAAGAAACTTTCCTGCTTTGGGCAGCTTGTGACTTATTTGCAACTGCTTTGTTTTTACTGAGACTGAAATATGTAAAAACTACCTGTAAAAACCATGTGTAGGGATGGGACTTCAATTGGGGAGGCGAAAAGAGGATATGACTCAGATGAAACCTAAGAATTCACATCAACAGAAAACCAACTTTTTCCTTCATATCAAACCCTGAGCCAAGTAGAGAAGACTGCAATTGCCACCTATTTTGTGACTCAGTAGTAATCCTTCCAAGTACACAAATGCCTGCTTTGGTCGAGGTGTATCCTGAAGTTCTCACATCATCCACGGGACAATTTTGGATATGTAACATTTTTGTTAAACTACCTAACTCTACATAGCCTCAAGGATCATTCTTATACCCCAAATACCAGAACTGAATAAATCATGGAGCAAACTTACCTTATTACTTCTCTGAAAAAATGTCATCTCCCTAGCAAGGATCTTTTTCTTGAATAACCAATTAATAGCTCTTCTCTAGTTATTACCTATCCTTTGGATTTTAATATTTGGGGCCACTCCTAAGTGCTTTCGTCACATTTTGTTTCAATGAATCACACATAGGGTTTGAAAAACAGCTATGTATGCAAGTAAGAATTTGCATAGAGGTCGGGGGTGCAGCTCAGTGGTAGAGCACTTGCCTAATGGGGTAAGATACTGGGTTCCATCTCTAGCACCAAAAGCTGGGGGTGGAATGTGCATAGAAAAGGTAGGAATGAGCAGTTAATAGAAACAGATTTTTTAAAAGTTGGCTCTTTTATCTCAGATTCATGGTGAATCACAATTTTATCCCCATGAATTTAAACCAGTGATGGGCTGGATGGACAAAAGGACTAGTGGATCTGGTTCTTCTCTTGTACTTAGCCTGCACGAGGAACCCAGACCTAGGCACAAAGTTATCCCAAGCTTCAGTCATCTCACTATTGTGCAACTCTAATTTTTATTTCAGTGTTCTCAATGTGTTTTTCTTGTACGTCTTTCAGTCGTACTTTCTTCAGCAATACCACACTGACTTTTCTAGGGAATATATTTTCTGTTGAAATGCAGAACAGACCTCAATGATTTTGAGTGAAGTTGGGTTTAGGTTAGGAATAGATGTCCAACACTCATTGAACTCTGTTTCCCTTCTGCTTTGGTTTGGGTGTGGTTTGTCCCTGCCACAACTCATGTTGAGTGTTAGTCTCCTAAGTGGTTGTCTTGAGAGATGGTAAGGCTTTAAGAGGCAAGAGGGCTCCACCTTCATGAAAGGATTAATGTAGTTTCCCTGAGAGTGGGCTAGTTATTGTGAGAATGAGTCTGACACTTTCCCTCTTCTCTCTCACACACATGCTCCCAACATACTATGCCATCTGCCACAGGCTTTCATCAGATGCTGGCCCATGCCTTTGGATCCCCAGAACTGTGACCTTTTTTTCTTTAACTAATTCAGCCTCAGGTACTTTGTCATAACAATAGAAAATGGACTAAGCCATCTTTTCTTTCTTTCTTCCAGGTGTGAGAAGAGTGATCTTGGGAAACTGCTGAAGCTTCCTAATAGTTTTTGTCTCTCTTCTCTGAACCCATCAATCAGCACATAAGCATGGCTTCACCATCCACATAGTTAGCCTGGTCTCCCTTTGAATAGTGGTTAAGATCATGTCTGCCAGGACTAACTGCCTTTATGGCTGCCTCATCAATCTCCCTGAAGAGGGAGAAAAGGAGAACTCAACTTCAAGATGTTGAAGGAAGGCCCTCTTAGCCAACTCTTATTTGTTTTGGAAAAGCCCAGAAACAAGAAGTTTGCATTCGCGCCAACTCTAATTAATTCCTGCAGTCAAGCCCAAACCACATGTTAGGTGTCTCGTCTCCGGTCTTCATGCTTCATGCATCACTTGCTTCGCTTCAGCTGTTTACCTGAGAGGTGCAAGCCAATCATGTCTCCACAGAGCAGACGGAGCCCTTCAGGTGAGACCCAAGGCCCTGGGCTGGATGGGGCAATTTCTCAGGCTCATTTGCAGCATTATTAAGGAGTGAGAACTTCTACTAAGCAACAGTTAAGAGTAAAGATCATAGCACCTTTTCCTGCACATTAACTGCTCTTATCTTGAGTCCAGCAAATCATGCACACACAGAGACAGGGCTGGTATTATTATCCCTTTTGCCACATAGGAAACAGACTTTCCTGGGAATAGGAACTGAACGACTTTTCTGATTTTTAGCACTGAGCTACAAAACTGTCAGGAATACAAAAAGAGCAATGGATTTGATCCCATTTCTTTCTATAGGACTCTGGATCGAACTGGAGTTCAAGATTATTATACAGGGCACAATTAGAGGGTGATCAATGACCTTTCACACTAAACTTACATACTCACTAAGGCCTTTGGATGAAGTGATAAGGACATGGTGCTCAGGTAGACAGAGGCCTCATGAGCATGGTACAGTGGGATTCTTCAATAAGTCTTGTATTTTGAAGGCTGAGTGAGGCTCTACTAAATAAAGGCAGTGAGCAGGAGTCAGTTGAGTGTACTTGGATGGGAGTAGAATATAGACATGCCTATGTCTCTGCGAGATAGTTCAGTCCAGGCTGCCAGATCGCCTGCTGGGGAGAGAGAAGTGGTGAGACAGGACTGCCATGGCTCCCGAGTCTGGGAACTGGTCTGAAGGTCTCTCTGGCACCCCTGACCCACAGGGGCCCAAGCATAGAGATGTGCCCTGGGGTTAGCATTCATTCCACCTTTCCTCCTGTTTTGTAGAAACCAGATTAGAAACTCTCCATTTCCAGACTTGCTGCAGTTAGGGACCTGAGTATGACTCATGTTCTGCTGAACCCTCAAGTAAGAACTGGGAGGCCTCAGGGAGGCAGAGGTGGCAGTCCTCCTGCTCCAGCTGAGCAGAGTTGCTGAGTGCAGGTCCCAAGCTGAGCCAGTAAATAAAAGGGAGCAGAGAAGTGGGCTCCAGGGTGTCCACTTGCGGCTGCAGGTGGAAGCAGGTGGGATTTGGTTGTGGGACCAGGGGAGAAGCTTGACTCCTGCTCAGAGGGAGGCAGAGATTGGGTGGTTCTGGGGTTGGAAGTTTCCAGATCCAGGGAGGGACAGCAGCTTTTTATGGTGGCCTCGTTCTGAGGTCTGGCTTCGGGAGATATTTCTGAACCTTGAGTCTGTTTCTTTAACCCTCATATAATACAGGTCAAGTGAGCTTCCCTAATCTGAAAATCTGAAATCGGAAATGCTCCAAAATGAGACTTTTTGAGTGTCAACAAGACACGGCAAGTAGAAAATTCCACACCTGACCTCATCATGGTTGCAGTCAGACTTCAGGTGCACTAAGATATTGCAAAAAATTACCTCAGGCTGTGTGTATAGGTGAATATGAAACATAAGTGGATTTCATGTTATGACATGGGTACCCTTCCAAAGAGATCTCATTGTATGTATGCGAATACTGCAAAAATTTCTTAAAAATCCAAAATCTGAAACACTTGCGTGTGGTACTAAGCATTTTAGATAAGGTATATTCAACCTGTACTGTTAGCTCTGACTATCCTGTAGTGATTCTCTTTTGGGTAAAACCTACCTACTGTGGATTCATTTTCTGTGACTATACCCCTCACTGAAGTCACCTCATGATTGTCTTACACAAATATGTGATCAAAAATATCTGTCAAAAGGTGATCACACATATTTTGGGCAATTGAGGATAAATGAAGTCCTAGATGGTACATGTTGCTTGGGAAGGAAAAGCCATTTTAGTCACATGTTCCTAATTGGATTCATCATGGGATCCAAGCCCTGATAACCTTGGCTAAGACCCCCGCATACTCAGATGGGCCTTGCAGGTGCATAATCTGGAGCTCTTGTGGAATCAAAGGATGATCTGCCCACTCTTGGTTTCTCATGACTGGTTTAGGCCAAGACAATTATACACACCCCAGAAGGCACCCTCCTTGGAGGGATGAAAGAGCCACCTCCTTCTGGTAACTAGCCATATCTATTACACTTACCTAATCACAGAAGAAATCACTTTCATTCTCACTCTATCTCTACCTGTGCACCTGTGCACAGCTACGTTTGACACCACCCCTGCCACTCAGCAGCATCACTGGAATTGCTCAGTGGGGCTGGGTGAGGACATCGTGATACTTAAAGAACATTCCACAGCACAGGGAACATGATGGCTATCTTTAAACACTCGAGGGGTTACCTCCATTATGCCTCCCACTTTACACATAGTAGGGTTCCAATTCTTGCTGAAACAAATTGTAAATTAAAGTCTCCTTACCACAGTTGCTGCCCTAGTCAGAGTGTCCTTAAGGCTCTTGGTCTGGACTGATGGTCTCCAGCCTCTCTTCCCCACCATCTCTTAGGAATATGGGCAATCATGGCACTGTTCTGCTCATGACCTTCAACACCCTGCAGTGGCCTACAGAGGAGAGCAGGATCCCCTTTGACCTCAGCCTCCTTCTCTATTTGCCTCCACTCGTTGTTCCTACCACTACAAACACCTGTACCTAATGTCCCAGACTTCCAGGCCAAATTCCTTTCCTTCTTCCCTAGGCCTCCATGGTGTATTATTTTTAGTGCTTTGTAGAATTGATCACTATTTGGGATCTGACTACACCTTTAGGCTGTAAGCTCCCTGCAGCCAGGACCATCTCTCCAAATATCTCTCACAAAGCACATTATATGAAATAGGTGTGTTGAAAAGTGAGCTTCCCCATGTTCCTCTAGTTAGCAGAACGGGATCACAGGAAGCTGGGGACAAATGCAACCTTAATTTTAAAAAAATCTCACCTTTGTCTTTTTCTTTGATTATTTGATTTATAAACATTGGCATCCTAAGTTGGAAAAATCTATCTCATCTCACCAAATAGACTTTCTGTGTTTAAGGTACTTGCCAGCCCACGGTCCTGGATATTATAAAAAGAGTCTCTTTAATTTCAGTTCTGTGATCCACAACTACTTGGTTCTCTGCGTGAATCACACATCCAGAGGTGATGAAGTGACCATCCTCAGGTGGGTCACCTCAAGGGACACTCTGTGAACTCAGCCCAGAGGCTCCTAATCTTTGCTGTGTATTTAAAAAATCCCCGGCAAGCTTAAAAAATCTGAAGCCCAGGTCACACCAGTGATGGGGTGGGAATCAGGCAACAGTATTTTTTTGAGACCTCCAGATGATCTCTTGTGCAGAAAGATTTGAGAACAACTGGCAGATGAATTGATGAATTCTCTAATGGCAGAGAAGTTAGTGGGACCACCTGTGTGAAATTGGAAGTGGAAACAGCTGTACGAGGACCCAGGCTCCCTCCTTAAGGAGCCAGCATATTCCAGAGGTCAAATTATGTATGGAGGCTCAAATCAGAATGGACCAGCAGGGCCTGTGTGTCCTTTGGTCGGTGGAAGGGGGAGGTCTGAGGGCTCAGTATGGGCAGGAAGAGACCACCCAGAAAGCAGACCAGTTGGAGGTGGGTAGAAACCAAGTGTTTCTCAGGTGTCTGAATGTGGCCCATATGTGAACCATTCATTCTTTCTTTGTGTCTGGGATCATCCTGCCTGATACTAGGAGAAACATAGAGCTGCCCAATGGAGTGAGATTTGATCTCTGCCTCTCAGGGGGGTAATTAAGATAATAAGTGGAAGGCAAACCAATGATTTACTTTCAGGTAATGTGCCAGGAACAAAGGATTCCAAAGTTAACAAATAATTACAGCCCTTGAGAATCTCAGATTGGTAGGAGAGGAAAAATGTGTAAATAAATAGTAGTACAATGTGACAACACAACTGGAAAAGTTAGTATATTCATGCTCAGGCAGTGGCGAAAATAAATGTGAGCTTCATAAAGGCTTGCTGAGATGAACCAGAAATTGTGCTACACACTTCTCACACCCCTTTGTGTATTCTACAAGGAGGAGGTTGCAGTTCAGAGGCTGCATAACTTGCTAAAATCTTATAGCTCATTAGAGGTGGAGGTGGGATCTGAACCTAGCTTCATCTGTCTCTGAACAGAAGGGCTCATCTGCCACTCTCTTGCCTCCTTCTGCAATATCTAAGCTGAGAGGTGTGTCCACCAGTTCATGGAAGGTTCCAGAAGGAAGGCAAGCTTTGATGTACTCTTATAGCAACTTAGCTTTGTACCTTGACTAATAAAGTCCTTGTCATACTTACAAAAATATTTTAAAAAAAGAGAGAGAGAAAGAGAAGATTTAGTTACACCCTGGGCTTCACCAAGGCAGAGCAGAGGGGACAGAGCAGGGTAAGGGAGATGTAGTGTAGGAGTCAACAAGGGTAGGGTTTTTATCTTGCTCATCAGTATATCCCTAGTACATAGAAGAGAATCTGGCATATAGAAGGTGTTCAGGAACAGTGCACAATTCATCACTCCAATTCAGAGCATGGAAGAGACTGAGTCACATTTCTAGAATATTCAGATATAACCAAACATGTGAAAATTGGTGACATGGCCCCTCATTTAAAAGGCAACCTAATAGACCCCATTAAAAAAAACAATAAGCCTGTACACCTATGTTAACTGCAGCATGATACCCAACAGCTCAAAAATGGAAATAACTCATGTATCCATCATCAGACAAATGAATAAACTCAACTGGCATATCCATACAACAGAATATTATTCAGCCTTAAAAAGGAGTGAAGTACAAGGCACAATATAAAGCACCATTCTGTCAAGGGAAAGAAGCCAGATACTAAAGCCCACATACTATATGATTCCATGAATATACTGAAAATCCTAAATGGTTCACTTTAAAAGGATGAGTTTTAAGGCAAGTAATGTATATCTGAATAAAGTTCTTATTTAAAAACAAGGTGAAAATCCTTGTTTATGGTTAAAATTATGTGAACTGATTCTCTTTGGTGGCAGGGGGAAACATGTTCCCAGCTTTCTTTTCTGTTACGTTCAGGGCTTGTGTCCTGGTGGCTTTTAGTAACTGGGTATAGGCAGAGAGCGCAAAGGGTCAGTTCCCTGTGGTCTCTTCCATCTTTGGAAGGCAGACAGCATATCACTGGAGTGGGACAAGTCACCACCTAGGGAGGGGAGGTTCCCAAAGGCAAACTTTATTCTTGCTTAGCCAGCCCTTCACCACTGGGGACTTAGCACCCACTGAGCACCTCATGATTTTTTGAGTCTGTAACCTCAGCGGGTTTCGTTGCCTTGTGATATAGATGCTGACGGGTGACTCTCAGCAACCATGGTAACTACAATTCTCTGAATGATCCTCTTTCCATCCGTGAAATGAGAGGTGCTGTAAGATGCTCCTGCCCAGATGCACAAGACTCTGAGTCTGAGAATCGGAGGCTGCTGAGATGTCCCTCAGCAGTGGGCAATGGCCAGCAGGGGGGAGGGGTGCACATTGCACCAGGTCCCTGCAGTGGCTGCAGACTGGATTTGGACAAGGTAGACCTGCTGGGGCAAAAGCGGGTCTCTCCCCCCCCCCTCCCCTCTCTCTCTCTCTCTCTCTCTCTCTCTCTCTCTCCCCCCCCCCCCCCCCCCCCCCCTCCCCCGGGAGCCCAGCTCATGCCAACCTTCTGGGATACCTGAGTCATGGTCTAGTTCATAGGTGTGATCTCGGCCAGTGGATTTGTCATCTACTGTCTCTGCTGTGTCAGGGAAATTGTCACAAAAGACCTCGGGCCACATCAGCCAGGCCAGAGCCTGCTGGTGCACTCCAGCATCACCCAAACGATGCCTAGGCAGGAGTTCTTGGAATTAGCCCTGGGAATACATTCCCACAGGGGAAAAAAAAAAAAAGACGGTAGTGTCCTGGTTTGGGCTGGGTGGTACATCATGTCAAGTGGATCTCATCAGAGAGTGAGAGGACACACTGAAGGAGGGAGAACCAGCTAGGTCTCAGTAGAGCACAAATAGAATGAAACAGACACTAAGCACCATTGTTAGTGTGGGGAAAAAATGCTCACAAGTTCCCTCCAGCTAACTTCTTTTTTTTTTTTTTTTTGGTACAGGGATTGAACCCAAGTGTGCTTAATCACTGAGCCACATCCTTAGCACTCCTACTTTTTTTTTTTTTAAATTCTGAAACTGGATCTCACTGAGTTGCTTAGGGCATTGCTAAATTGCTGAGTCTGATTTTGAACTCATGATCCTTCTGCCTCAGCCTCCCGAGACATCAGGATTACAGGCATGTGCCACCATGTCCTGTTAATTTACTATTTCTTTATTTGGTCTTTTTCTATTAAAAAAATTAAACATGCCCATAGGTTTCAAAGTATCAGTATGATCTGAAACTTGAAAGTCATCTTCTCTTTTCTTCTCTTCCTTCTTGCTGGTAGATAACATTCACAGTGACTTCACAATCCAATCTGGTCAGATTCTTTATCCAGGAGCCAAGACAACTCATCTGTCTCTTATACTGTTGATTATAAAAATGGTCGTAGGAGCCAGGTGTAGTGGCACACACCTGTAATCCCAGTGGCTTGGGAGACTGAGGCAGGAGGATTGAGAGCTCAAAGCTAGCCTCAGCAATAGTGAGATGCTAAGCAACTAAGCATGGACCCTGTCTCTAAATAAAATACAAAATAAGGCAGAGATGTTTTTCAATGGTTGAGTGCCCCTAAGTTCAATCCCTGGTACAAAAAAAAAAAAAAAGTCAAAGGAGGCTGGAGGGTAGGATCCCCTGCAAATTACCTATTGAGAATGAGCAGACTCAGAAACCAATACTGTGTGTAATGAGTGTCTTAATTTGTTTTCTGTTGCTATAATAAAATACCTTTGGGTGGGTAATGCATAAAGAAAAGATGTTTAGTTAGCTCATCATTTTAGAGGCTTAAGGAGCATTTGGTGCTAGCCTCTCCTCTGCTCTGGTGAGGAGCTCTACCACAACCTGGCATCATGGTGGGAGTACATTCAGGATGAAGAGTTTACATGTTGAGATAGAAATCCAAAGGGATTCAGGGGACAAGGTTGCTCTTTTTATTACAACCTGCTCTCTTGGGAATTAACTCGGGTTCCAAGAGCATTACATCAATCCCTTCTGAAGCAGTCCCCCCAGTGAAACAATCCCTTGTATGAGGCCCCATCTCTTAAGAGATTTCACCACCTCAACACCATCACACCAAAGACCAAGCTTCCAGCACACAAACCTTTGGAGGACAAGCCACCTCCAAACCACAGTACCGGGTCAGCATGGGAAATAAGGCTGCCTTAGAAGTCATTCCAAAGCATGTGTGTGACTGACTGTCCCTTCTAGGGGACCCTCACAATGCCCAGGCAGGGTGGGGACTTTTCACCCACCTGCAGCCAGAAGTTTTAGGAAGACTATTGCTAGCCCCTAAAGTTGGCCTGGAAACAGTAGCTAGTTATACAATTCTTTGGGAATATGATACTATAAAGAAGACTCAGCCTTGGCCAGTGGCCAGTAGATATTATAAAACTCCAGCACCTTAAAGACTCCTCCTTTCTGAGCACTGAGGAGAGAGCCATTGGCAGACCCTGACTGTGTCGGGTGTGGGGAGGACCTGAGGCATTTCAAGGAAGACACACAGCAGCAGGCCAAAGAAGCTCTGGAATGTGACCCAGCTGATGGCCAGGGGCTCAGTGAGATGATTTTCAGGTGCTATTCATACCCATATGGTGGGGTTAGCCATCCAATAAATCATATCAAGTTCAAGGACAGATCCAAATGTAGGCTTTGAGATTAAAGATAGTGACAAAAACAAGAAAATGAAGAATGAAACTAGTTTTGATCCTTTAAGAATATCTGTTAAAAATAGTCTTTGGAGAAAGAGAAGGGGAGTGAATAGGAATTTTTTTAAGGCAGTGGAACTATTCTGTGTGATATTGTGATGACAAATTCTTGTCATCAAGCATTTGTCAAAGCCCACAGAAGGAACCATGCCAAGGTTGGACTCTCATGTGAACCAAGGATCAACGAACAAAAAAAGCATCAGGATGGGTTCATAATTCTAACAAAGATACACAGTAATGTAAGATGTTAATAATAAAAGAAAAAGGAAGGGAGAGGCATAGGGAAGTGCTCCATGCTTTCTGATCAGTTTTTCTATACACTTAAACTGCTTTTTAAAAAAAAAAAAAGTTCTATTGAAAATAGTCTTTGGCAAGATATAGCAATGTAATTTTTAAAGAAGCAATTATGTAGAGTAGAAATTTTGTTGTAATAAGGGGGCTGAGAAAAGATAATTGACATCCACCATGCAGACAACCTGGGGGCACCAGGGTTACTAAAGTTTTCCTCTGGTGGTGGGCAGTCCTCCAGGCCCGACTGAGAAAGGAAGCTGTGTGTCCTGAACACTTACAAGTATCAGCCAGTTCCCTGCAGGCTCTTCTGAGAGTTGGCTGACCTCCTATGTTTGATGTGGTAGAAATCAAAAGGTACAAATCCCAGGTTCTACCTGAAACTTACCAAATTGGAGCTAGAGACCAGAAATCTGCATTTTAACCAAAATAACAGGTAGCTGTTACATACATTGAAATTTAAGAATAACTTCAGCATGTGGCACAACATTGGTGTCTGAAATTATGACATGGAACCTCAAGCCACTGAGTAGGATTATTAGAAGGTTGGGCAATGTGAGATTGTTTCATGATCTGAAATAACCTACAGTTTAGGCAGGTGTGAGAGTAGAGAAGGCAATGTGTAATTGATTAATGACCCACAGGAAAACCCAAAAATGCTCTAGAATCTTTACAATTTGGCTCAATTCATTAGAAGAATTACAGAAAAATACATAGCCTGGCCAATGTCCTAGAAGTCACTTACAAAAGAGAATGTGGTCCATCTATTCACCTCTCTCCAGAGTGAGAGTGTAGGTTTTCTTTATAAACCTAAAGTTGTCCCAACTGACATAGATTTGAGGATACTGGAATAATATGCTAGCTCTAGAACATTTTCAAAGTTTCTGGGATCAATCACCCGGACTAATTTCTAATAAAAGAAGCACATGAGCTCTAAAACAAAGGACCCAAAGAAAAATCTACTGACAAGGGAGTGTTAACCACTAGGCACAATTTACAACTTAGTTCAGATATATGGGTTTGCATATTTACTCAACAAATGTTTATTGAGCACCCTCAAATGTCTATGTCTTAGACATTAAGGCTACAACTGGGAATAACCAGAAAAACAAGCTCTTTGTTCTCATGGAGCTTATAGGAGAAAGACAGAAAATAAACAAAATGAATAAGATGCCTTTGGATAGTGTGATCAGTAGTGCACTAAGAAAATGAAATGGGACTCGTACATATACTCCTGAAATAAAGTGGTGGATGCAGATCACTTTGGGAAGGTGATATTTGAACTGAGACCTGAACAACACAAGAACCAGTCTGCTGAAGATCTAGGGCAGAGGCATCAATGAGTGTAAAGGCCTTGTGGCATCTTGTAGAAGCACAAAGGTGGTCAATGTGATTGGAACTCAGTGAGGCTTGAAGAGTACAGAAGGAATTTGGAGAAGCAAGGAATCAGAATTGTGCTTTAAGTGTAATGTGAGCCAGTAGAGGTTTTAAATAGGGGAGTAATATATTCAGATTTAATTTTTGCAGGAATGTTCTGCTAATTCTTCAATCAAGGGGAGGAGATTTACAAGTATCATTCTACTATTGGACTTGGTAAACTACAAAATATAATGTATACTACAAAATATAATGTATGTAATATTAATTATATAGCATATTTTATCATTTTAAGAGTTCTCAGTCTTCTGTGTAGGGACTAGTTTGCACAGCGGTAAGAAAGATATTGGATAGACCTGCAGGGGGATCAGTGAGAGAAATCATGGAGGACTAGGAATTGAATAGTAGCAACAGAAATGGAGATAAACAGATTTAGAAAGTATTTGAGAGATAAAATGGTAGAACTTGCTGATGGGCTGGTTGTGGAGGAATAGTGAAGAATGAGGACTGCAGATGCCTCGAGCAACTGGGAAGATGTTGAAAGCATTTACCGACATCTAGAAACCTGAGGGAATTAAGAAACAGGTTTGAGAACTGGGATTGTAGCTCAGTGGTAGAGTGCTTGCCTGGCACGTGTGAGGCACTGGGTTCAAACCCCCGCACCACGTAAAAAAATAAATAAAGGTATTGTATCCATTTGCAACTAAGCATAAATTTTAAAGAAGACCCAGATTTGAGGACAGGATTAACAATTTTGTTTGACCATGTTACATTTGTGCAGTGTGGCATCAGAAGGAGCGTGCTGAATGACATGCCTACTGTTCTTCCAAATAGGGAAGTTAAGTGTGAACTTAGATACAGAATTTGGGGACCCAGAGTTGATTGAGGTCAGGGGTAGAGGAGAGATGTAAATATGAAAATGAATGGAACACAAAAAATGGTAATTTTGGAGGTTTGGCATCTTTCCTTCCTTCCTTCCCCGCCCCCTTTCTCTCTCTCTCTCTCTCTCTTTCTAGTACTAGGGATTGAACACAGGGGTGCTCTACCACGGAGCTACATCCCCGATCCTTTTTACTTATTTATTTATTTTATTTTGAGACATGGTCTTGCTAAATTGCCCAAGCTGGTCTTGAATTTGCAATCCTCCTGAGTTGCTAAAATTATGGGTATGTACCACCATGCCTGGAAAATTTCTTTTTAACTGGTAAATTTAGTTTTTTTATATTTATTGCCACTTCTGATATATTTGGATTTTTGTTACCCTCTTACTTTGAGCCTTAACCTTATATAACACATTTCTGGCCAAGTGGGAGTCAGAGATGGAAAAGTAAGATTTTTGTTTTTCCACACATTAAAAATAAAAAGATTCCTTAAAAAGAGTAATCATTTGCTATTTTGATTTGTATTGTTTTAAATGGGTCTGTACATCCAGATCCATAAAAGCTCTATAGTTTAAAGAACCAGGTTTATTGAGATAAGGATCGCCTACCGTACAAACTGTCTGTTTAAAGTGTATAATTCAGTGGTTCTTAGTATGTTAGAGTTGTTCCACCATCACCAGGATCAGTTTTAAGGGCATTTTTGTCACTTCACAAAGAGACTTCATAACCTTCATCAACCATTCTTCATTATCCCCCTCTCCTCAACTTCCAGTACCCCTATTCTACTTTCAGTCTCAACAGATATGTTCATTCATATAGATGAAATTGTATATTATTTGTTCTTTTGTGAGTGGCTTCTTTCACTTATTGCAATGTTTCCAAGGCTCATCCACATTGCAACAAGTAGCAGTAGTACTTTGTTCCTTTCCATTGTATAGATTTGCCATGTTTTGTTTGTTCATTCATCAGGTGATGGGCATTTGGTTGTTTCTACTTCCAGGTTAAACAGGGTGTGAAAACCATTTAAATCGAGTTTCTTGCATAACTGCTCCAGTGGGAAAAGGCACACACTAGCTTGCTGGTTAAAATCTGTGTTGGAAGCTCATGCTCCAACACGGACAAAAGCCTGCTGCCCTGTAATCAGCCCACAGCCCAGCCGGAGAATAAGAATGCGACCCAATTAAGACGATACACCGGGCTGGACAGGAATCTGGCTTTTCTTGGCACACTGGTCAATTTGGCCTTAAAATCCACCCTGAGAAAATGACAATCAAACCCTACAAGCCACAATCTAGCTTCAGTTGGATCCACTTTAGAAAAGAGAAAATCGTGACTCAATGTTGCCTTTTGTTGTGCAACATTTTTCTAATTTAATAAATTGAACTTCATTGTATTATCAGATACAGCCACATGAAAAATATTGATTTTGGTCACAGATGATTGTTGCATCTTGGAACCATCCAAATTCCAGGTGCAATAGGTAAAACGTACTGAATCGGTTTAGGGCCATTGCCCACCCCTGTCCTGCCCCAGGCATGATGAGCCCTGGGTGGATCCCAGACTCCCTGCTTTCCAGGGATCCCCGTGGGCCCTCAGGGCATTGGTTTTCCTCTCTCTCCCCATTTTCCCTTGTGTGGTTGGGGGCCCAGGCAGAGAAGACCAGTGGGAAGCAGACATTGCCTAAAGAGTCTCTAAGTGCTGACTTTCCCAAACCTGGGGCATGGTGAAGATAAGGTAGCTGCCAATGACGAGCTCCAATCTACTGGAAAAAGAAAAACAGAAGCGATTGTGTTCTCTGGAGGGCAGGGCTCTGAGTACAGAGCGTCTCATGTTTTCAAAGGAGGAAAATGTCCACAGCTAATATTTGGATGGGCCCACACTGTACGCCTTTCTCATTGATGCTGAGCCTGTCCCATCACAGACAAAGGGCCCTCGCTGTGCACCTATGGAGAGCGGAGCTGGGCCCAAGGAAGGCAGGGCCCACCTCTTTGTACTCCTCTTGTTTTAAGCAGAGTTTTGCAAAGGGAGTGGTTCTGGAAAGAAAGTAGAGCACAAAGTGTCAGAGCCTGAAGTGTTCAGAAACACATCCGCTCCAGAGACCTTCTGGAAGGCTCACTGCCAAGGACAACTCTGACCTGTGGAAAGGTACTTGCCAGCCCATGAGTCTGTACAGCAAGGAGGAGGTGAAGGGAAAACAAAAAGACATTGCTGTGTAAGGCAGCCTCCAGACCAGCACCATGAATGCCACCACAAGGTATCAGGCCCATCTAAACACCCACGCGCCAATCTGTCCCTGCTCCAGGAAGCTCCAAAGTGCAGCCTCAGTGGAAATGTAAAGGCAGAGACGGCACTGCACAGGAAACCTGGCCCAGGGAGAGAAGTGCCCCAGTGGCACCAATACAGACCTGTAAAGGAGAAGAAATCACCAGAGAGGGAAGAGGATTGGGGCAGCCTTTCATGTGGAGGAAACGGTACAGGCAAAGATGTGTGGCAAGCAGCGGCATGGAGGGTGTGTGACACGTGAATGTGTGTGAGAACGGGTGTGAGTGTGTGTGTGTGAACATGAGTGAGTGTGCTGAGGGATGGATTTGTGATCTTACAAGTGATTCAGTGATCTGCAGAATCTTGTGGACATTCCAACAATTCTATGAACAATTACTATACATTAGTAAAATTATGCCTTAACTGTCATTCTTCCCACTAGACATAGTCATAGCCATCCTTATCGACCTCAAGAAGGTTGTTTTTAAACCTTCTTTGTTTAAGAAGACTTGAACAAATGGACAGACACATTCTGCGTTCCTAGGTGATGGTGACCTCTTTGGGTCTTTGTCTTGTCAAGCAAGTCCTCTGTCATACACATAGGAGTTGTGTTGTCCCAGTCCTTCTTTTGGGCCTGTGTGGTGTAAAGAATAAATATCCCAACCCCAACAGCTGTATCTCTCAGAGCTGGTCCTTCTCAAAGGGAAAAATAATTGTCAATCAAAAACCAGATACAAGCGGAAAGCTACTTATCATGAATTCACTGGCAGGGTTTTTTTCCAAAGGAAAAAGACTTCCCTTTCCAGGTTTCAAAATGAAAGATTTTGCAGATTATTTTCAGTGAATTCAACAAGGCAATTAAAACAAATTATTTTAATTTTATTCAAACTTTACTACCCATACATGCATAGAAATTGACCGCAGTTCATAATTCCTTTGTTCCCTCCCACTTTTCCCTCCCATCCTCCTACAACAGGCAATTTTAAATGAGTCTCATCGTGACTAGTTGAGTGCCTCAGGGAAGAAAGAAACTGACAGAGCTTTTAAAAAGAAGATGATAAGGTCTGGGGGTGTAGCTCAGTGACACAGAACTTGCCTAGCACACATGACGTCCTAGGTTTCATTGCCAGGACTACCAAAAAAAAAAAATTTGATGGAAAGTTCTGGAAATGGATGGTGGTGATGGAGGTACAACAATGAGAATGTACTTAATGACATGACCACTGAACTGTGCACTTAAAAATGGTTTAGGTAGTGAATTTTATGTCATATGTATTTCACCACATTTTTTAAAAAAATGGTGGGGGAGAGAGGAGGGAAAGCAATGGAAGGAGAATATAATAGTGGGAGAGGTCTATCTCCTTTCTTCCACTCCCTCTGGTTCCTGGTGACTGCCTAGAGTTCACAACCTCCAATTCAAAATGTCCCCCCTCCTGGGCTGGCACCAGGACAAAGCAGTTTTAAATCTGTTCAGTGTTCCAGGAACTCAGTAAAAATAGTTTGTTTTCTTCCTTCTCTCTTAGGTTGCTACCTCCATCTGACTTGTTGGAGTCTGGAGAGCAGTCTTAGACATGGACCACCCCTCTCATAGTAGGCACTTCTATGCGGGCGCTTGCACAAAGGCACTGGCTTCAGGTCTATGGATGTTAGTGTGGGACAGAGGTGTTGGGATGGAATGCCAATGGGGTAGAGGGAGAGAGGAGAGGTGTGTTGGTGACCCCTGTGTACCAGGTGTCCTGTTGCTATGCACTGTACAGAGCTCACCACTTCCCTCTAAAACATGCCATTACCTAGACTCCTCCCACATACTGGCCAACTCCCACTGGTCCCTGGTCTCCCTAGCCTGGGGCAAGGCCACCCATTCCAGTATTTGTCACTTACACAGCTTGCAAGCTGCCTGAGTGGTGACTAGCTCTTCCACCGAACTTGAAGAGACCCACAGGTATTTACCTCCCTCTCTTCATCCTGACCCTTTGCCTCCCAGAGAGGATGCACTCAAATTCTTGCTGAATGAGTATTGTTGAGGTATTGTTGATGACATTGTTGAGGCCTCTTAGACTTAGAACTCTTAAATGGCATCCGTTTGACCACAGGTAGCAAGAGAAGGATGGCAAGGGGGACCCTTACTCCTGACCTAAACCCTGGGCCCCTGGCCTGCACAGCCTTCTGTCATCTCTGTAGGCTCAGGTTCCTCCAGTGCCCACCCAAGTTGCTCCCATGAAATCAAATCACCTGCAAGCTGAAATGAGGGGGATATTGAAGGCTTGGGGTGGGGACAGACATGTGATGGAAACTCCAAGAGGGCAAAGTTGTCCATCCTTACAGTGGCCCGCTCTGACCTGTGCTAGAATCCTAACAAGACTGGGCACAGGCCCAAGTCCACCATTTATTGGGGCAACACACATGAATAGCTTTCACTCACAAGAAAGGCAAAAGGAAATGTAAATTTTTACATCCTGTAGATTCCAGTGTTCACATTTTCCTGGGGTTTGTGGCTATAAAAGCATTTATGTATAATATAATATTAAATGGGAGAAGTAGAGAAATTACCCAATACTTTGTATAGTAACTGCTCAGGTTTACTTTCTCCTTACAAATCATATGATTGTTCCTGTTATCAGTGAGCAAATGAAGTTTTATTGATAAAAGATGAGGAAAAGTGACTTAAAAGTTTGTGAAGCAGTGAAGATTTGATTTTCAGCTGAAGCACTGATGCTAGAATCAGTTAATGATCACTATATCAACAGTCTATAATAACATTGTATTTGAAATAAAGTAATTATTACTTTTCATACTTTTTAGTCTCAATATTTTCTAAAAATGTGACTAGAAGTTTAATGTGGAGTATAAACCTCTCTTGTATTTGGTTTTACCTTGAGTAAGCTTTCTGTGTGGAAATATTTTTTAAAAAAATTTTTTTAGTTGTTGATGGACCTTTATTATTTATTTATTTACATGTGGCACTGAGAATCAAACCTAGTGCCTCACACATGCTAGGTAAGCCTTCTACCATTGAGCCACAACCCCAGCCCTCTGTGTGGAAATATTAAAGAATGGGAAGTATTATCTTTCTCAAGTGGATTTTATATGGATTTAGGAAATTGACAACACATAGTTGGGAAAAAAACTAAACTTACTCAAATGTTTAAATGGTTTTAGTTTATACAGTTATATAAACAACATGTGCAGAATAAGATAAACTAAAAGAGAAAGATGTATAAAGAAAATGATAAAAATCTCACAGAATTCTGCTACCCATATCCTGTTATAGGTTTTTTCCCTCATATAATACTGAATCTCAAGTGTTGCAAATATGAGTTGCAGCCCACAACTCAGGAAAGCAGGAGCAAGAGGTTATCCACATCTGTTAGAACATTCTCCATCCTGAAGATAGTCTAATATCAGGTGTGGTGGAGGCAGGACGAGTAGACACCAAGGCCCCAGAGTTCTCTCCCCTGGGTCTGGGTATCTGTCTGGTGTCACTGTGAGTCATTCTCCCACTGGGGTCCTATCCCAGACCAGGGCACTGGGGCGGTGGTTTGCTCTCTCAGACCTCCCTTAGGATGCGGGGCACAGAGTCCCTCTGATGGGACTCACTGATGGACACAGTGAGTCTTTTCTATGAAATCTTTGTCAGAAGTCATTTTATTTCCCATGACAGACGGAGAAAGCAGAATTCCCCAGTAGAAGGGTAGGAGGATGTTAAGGCTGTCAATACACCTAGTTGTCATTCAGAGACCACCAACCTAATTCCACCCTCCAGCTGTGAAAGGAAGCTTCCCATAGTACCTGCCCCATGAAGTCGCTGACTGCAGTTCTAATGCATCTTCTCCCACGAAGTCAACCAGGATTACACTTTGCCTATTTGTCCACTGATGTTTGTGGCGTTCAGTGAGAAGGTCGGCTCTTATTGAGAATTTGCTAAATACAAAACATGTACAATAATGACAACTCTGAGACTCAGTTTTTGATCTTCAAAACAGTCTGGGATGGTTCTGTTGAAATAAGATCAGAGGCCAGGGTCAGGAATGCATAGGACCCCTCAATTCTCTCTACAATTTGGTCCCCAGCAGGTTGAGGTTTATGGAAATTCCATAGAACCTTCATGCCAAGGGTTATTAACACTGAATCCCATCCCTTCCTGTATAGATGAGGAAACAACAGATCAACAAGGTGACCTTGAATCAGGGATGCAGCCTGGACTGAGCCTGATCTCATGCTGAGCCAGGATTCTTTCTATCTACCCTTGCTCCTGCTCAGCCTCAGCCTGTGGATTCTGTGCCCCATCCTCAGACAGGAACCAGGGCTGGGCCAGCTCATCCCCCAACTCAGGGACACACCCCTCAGGCCAATCAGACCTGCTGTAGCATGGGCAGGAGCATATCAGAAAGTCTGCTTGACACTCCAGAAACTTTTGGTCTCTGGGCTTAGGCAGCCACCCCGACAGAGGGCTCACCCTCCGCACTGCGTTCCCTATCAGGCTATAACTTTTCCTACTCTCCATTAATTACCTCTAAGTGGAGCATTTATACATTCAAGAGAATTTCTAGCACCACACCTGGCTCACATTGTTTACCTTTGTTTCTCATATTAATTCATATTTTTGGTGCTTTATTAGAAAAGGTTTTCCCTTCTGCTCTCTCCCTTTGTCCAGTCCCAAGAGTTCTAGAGGCCTCTGATGATCCCCACTATAACTTGAATTTCTAAACAACAACAACAACAACAACAACACACACACACACACACAATCTTGAATGCCTCAGGAGCTTTAAGCTTTGGGGTTTTTCTGGTGTGCAACATTTTGAAGTTATTATTTGTGAATTTTTTTTTAACTGGAGGAGGAAACTAGCCCATGTTGGATCCCTGCAATAGCACAGATATTGTAAGTGGCACTTGATAAATATTTTGTCCTTTATTTTTCGCAGCTGTCTTCATTCTGCCTGTTTTATTCACAAGGAAAGCAGGTCACACTGCTAATGAATGGTAAAACCAAATTGTGATTCAACTCCAGGCCTATATTTTTTTCTATTCATCGTGACTATTGCTACTTCCAGTGATGCTATTTTCAAGTATTTGCACATTTCAAAAAGTGGTTCTGTTCTAAGTGACACATCACTGCCCAAGGACCCCAGCCTCAATTTGATGTTTAAAGTGGTAAGGGGAAGGTTGGGATAAGACTTCGTGCTTGGCTAGTAATCATAAGACCCTCCTGGCTTCAACTCCCAGCACCAAATAAATAAATAAAATTAAAGGAGAAGGGACAGGCGTTAACAGAGGTTTCCTCACAAGCTGCCTCTTTTGCTAAGATGGCCGCATAAGGGAATATTGAGTAGGGAAAGTTAGGAAGTTATTGGCTTTGTTCAGCTCAAGCCATCTGGAAAAGAGTTTCAATGGTGAGAGTCGTGGGGAGGTAATAAAGAGTAAACCAGGCATTTCTTGGGGGCCAAGCCACAGAGAATATTTGCCAGTGACAGCAAGTCCATCATCATGGTGTGTAATTAAATTTGGCCCAAGGAAGCATCTGTACTTGAGTCCTTATATTCAATTGCAACCTAACTTTGTATGTAAACCAATGAAATCCTAATTTAGGGGTATTGGTATAAGGACAAAAATCACCTAATGATGCACTTCTCTGTGTGCCCAACGTTAAAGAACTCAGTATCCTGTAACAGATAGCTGAGGTTCAATTAAGGCAGTTGAGCTCAGTCAGTTGTAAGACCCAGCTGATTTAAATAAGACTAGAGAGTTTAAATGAGGAAATCAGGATCTCCCAGCTACTCAACCACACAGCCAGGACTAAAATCTAGACCTTCTGACTTCTAGAGCTACAGTCATAACCACATCCAAGCTGTAGCCAATTAAAATGACTCCATATGTCACTTTCATTTTCTGTCCTGACCACATCCATTTGTTTGGATTCTGGGTTCTGAAAATAGGGTTGCCCTATTTTAGAGTCCTGATTTGTTCAACTAAGTGCTATTAAATTTAGTTCATTCACATTTTTCCTTTTTTTATTTTTGTTACTGGGGATTGAACTCAGGGGCACTTAACCACTCTGAGCCATATCCCTAGCCCTTTTTTGTATGTTATTTAGAGATAAGGTCTCACTGAATTAGTTGCTTAGTGCCTCAAAATGTTGCTGAGGCTGGCTTTGAATTTGCAATCTTCCTGCTTCAGCCTCCTGAGTCCCCAGGACTACAGGAGTGCATCACCGTGCCTGGCCCATTTTTTTTTTCCTTTTAACAATGGCAGGATAGAGGTCCCTGGAGACACTAGAGGATGTAGGTGGTGAAGTACTGATACTGAGCTTGTTAAGGTACTGACTGAGTCATAGCTCCTTTTATGGGCAAAGAAAACATGAACAAGTTAAGTGACCTAAATTATACACCAAGACCTACAAATGATCTAAAGCAAGTAATTGTACTTGTTATGACTCAAAAGACTCTCTCCATAAAGTAGAAAACTAATATTGTGCTAAGCAATCAACTCTCTTTACTTCCTAAGGATGCTGGAAGAACTTTCAGGGAGTTTTCTGAGCCTATAAAGTAGCACTGGTTATGGCCCAGAGTAAAAGTCTCTGATTCTTTTATTTCTTGGATCCCAAGACCATGAGAAAAGAAGCTTCTGACATAAAACAGAAATTACACAGAGCTAAGTGAGTTAATTCTAAAATTCTGCTTCCACCAATGCAAGCACCCTTCTTGATTCATAAAGCTAAAAGGTCTGAGAGATGACTCAGTCCAGTGATGGCTAATGTCCAGCATGTAAACTTCCAGCCAAGACCAGTGCCCAGGAAGACAATATCATTCCATCTGGGCTGTCCTCCCCAGAGCCTGACCATAGCCCTATGCTCTTTTCTACCAGCTACCACCAACCAACTGCAGCTGACATTTGAGCAGAGACCTATTGGCCATTGCTTTTATGTTACAGAAGAAGTGAAATCTAGAGAGATTAAATGAAGAAACCAGGATCTCATAGTTAGTGAATGACTTAGCCAGGAGTAGGCCTAGACCTTATCCATATCCTTTTTATACCTTTAAAATCAATAGTCCCAGATTTACTAAACAACCCATTTATTCAATACATAAGTTATTAAGCACCAACTAAGAGCTGGGCATCATGTCCAGATAAATGACTGATCCTCCCTTTATCCAGCTAGAGAGGATTTTCATAAACCACAGATCTTTTGCAATTAGCATAAACTGGATCAAAAATCAAATATATATGTATATACATTTGAATTGTACATGTGTATGTCTATAGTTGTTTGGATATATATATATATATATATATATCTGAAAATACACATATATATATATATACCATATATATGAAATTATGGTATCACTTGGTACAAGGACTTTAGAAAGTTTACTCTCAAAAAGCAGTTTACAAGATTACTTGTTTACTTGTTTACAAGATTACTTGGTGTACTTTCTTCTGTCTTTTCTGGTCATTGGGCTACAAGATCTTATATATAGACTAGAGCTATATATAATTTCAATAAAAACTATTATAGAAGCAAATTTGAGTACATTGTATAAAGGTATAGAAGGGAAAAAAGATCTAATTGTCAATAGTCTTTGGTTACATTAATCTATCAACCAGAAATAATAAAATGTCATTTGAAGGTCACTACCTTCTCTCCCCTTGTTGTATTGTAGGGAAAATAACATAAGACTGAGTATTGGAAGACCTGGGTTCTGGTTTGTTCCTCCTCCAGGCAGTTTATGACACCAAATGAATCATTTTAATATAGCCAAACCTCTTTCCTCATTTATAAAATACGAATGACTCTGAGCCTTGCCTGTCTTGCAAGATTGTTTTTAGGATTAATAATAATAATAATAAAGCTCCCACTGCTATTGTGATTTGCATTTGCAACACTCTTTTGCAACTACCCTCAGAGGCTGGTAGGGCAGTTATAATTACTCCCAATTAAAGATGAGAAACCCAAGGCTCAGAGAAGTTAAGTAATTTGCTGTTAATACTCAGCTAGAAAGTGCTGGGTGTGGAATGTGAGCTTCCTGCTCTCTTGTGTGATCTGTATTCCCTCCTGCTGCTTCTCTGAAAGAGGGTTGGGCTATTCTTTCATCTGTTGGATTGGAAACCCCTTCCGCAAATCACTGTGGTTTTGCCGGTACACAACTCACCAATGATAGTGGCTAGCTCTCCAGGCAACTCTTGAGAACACAGAAATATTTGAGCTGTTCTTGGCAGGTTTTCTAGGTGCAGAAATTAGGACAGGATGTTTTCAGGGAGAACTCTGCTGCTCAGAGGGGTCTGCTTACTTCAATCAGCTCTACTTCTTCATTGCCTCAGTCACTGTCTCCAGTGTGTCCTTTGTGTGCATAAAATGCATAATCTAGAGACACATATGTCCCCCCTACATACACACACAAGTCTCTTAGTTACAAACTCATAAATTTCAGCCAAAATTCCTGTATCAAAAAAAGTTATTTTTTTTAAAAAAAGAATTAAGTGAGTCAGGATGGATACACACACACACACACACACACACACACACACAGGTTCTTGGAGCATGATGCTCAGAAAAAGACAAAAAGAAGAAACAGAAGATACATACCCATTGATTAGCTATCTGTTTCTGTACTGGGCTGGTCTGTGGAGCTAGTCAACATGTTGGCTATGGCAGGTGGCAGGAAGTGCACCATCTCCCTGACCCTTTCAAGTCTTTGCCCAGGGAGGTTGTACCTTCCCTTATATAAGGCTTTTCTCCTTGTGTGCTTCCTGTGTAGGAGCTGAACCTGCCACACCTCAGTGGACCAGAAGGTGGGTGGCTGCCTCAAACCAACAAGTGGTGTTTTCTCCATTGTGGGCTTCATGGGTGGGAGCAATGACTCTGAAAAATGTGTATGTGTGTGTGTGTGTGTGTGTGTGTGTGTTGTGTGGGTAAAAATGTGTGTATGAGCATATATGTCTGTGCACTTGTGTGTATATAGTGTATGTGTACAGGTATGAGTATATATGTATGTATGT